TAAAAATTAAGAAAGGTATTATCAGACATCTTCAAATTATACTGGGGTAAATTTAAAGTAATGCAAAAAATTTGAACAAGGAATTTTCAAAAATTGAAAGTTTTATCCTAAAGTGCTGAACCTTTCCAACTAAGGACTAGATTTACATTTTTGTTCATGAACCTTTTAACCAAAAAAAATCCCCATTATTGACTACATGGCTTAATTCATCTGCTTCTCCAATTAATTAGCGTTAATATTTTCTTACAAGAAACAGCAAATTCCATAGCACATACATTAGAAGTCACAGCTATGGAAACTTCAGTTACAGTGAACTCTGCTTCGCTGTTTCCTTGTTTAGATTACATGGACAATTTTTAACCTATCGCCGTAGTTCTTTAAAACGAAAAGATAAGTGTTTGATAAAACGAACTAGAACTGACGAAACTCGTTCGATTAATAACAAGGTTGTAGCCAGCTTTTGACTTGTTATAGGCCTGTTCCTTAAGAAAGTTCAATTTTTGTTTCAACATTTGCAAGAGTCATATCATAAAAGCGAAGCGGGCGGAATACAATTGTATGCCGGGCCTACGGGACTAGAAGCTGGCTACACCTCTAAAAGTCGGTCTAATGTCGGTAACATATGGTCAGTAAATTCAATAACATTATGTGTGATGTTTACTTCTTCAAATTAAGCTTAGAATGGCAATCTTGGCTCTGATAAAATTAGATTGCATTAGAATAGATTGAAAAAAATATTAGTCAATTTCTCTTATGAAGATAATCTCAAATTGTAACAAAGTAATTTATGATGTAGAGAAATCACCCAAGTTTTATTAACATATTGCTGCAAATTTTGCAAATCAAACTTTTGGAAATAACAATTTGGCCAACTTTTGCAAATGACGAACTGTTTCTTTGCTTATCAAACGCTTAGAGTATAAAGGTAATTAAAACCCAGTGAACAAGCTCCTGGTTATGTAAAAGAAAAAAAAACCTTTAAATTGTTTTCCATACAACTGATTGTAATACAGGAATAGAGCTGAGTGTCATTTTGACGAAAACAAAAACCTCGTAATCTCCTTCAACTACTGTAGGCATTCATAAGAGAAGCCTTGTTACATTTCGTTCTCTTTGTAAGCAGTTAAATTTTAAAGGTAACTGAAAAGACAATTCCACTGATCAAAACATTTGAAATAGACTGTTTTTATTTCTTCATCAAGGTAGAGTTACACATCTCAAGTTCCATTTAACAAAAAAGTAAAATGCAATGAAAAATAGTTAAAAATTCTCAAAATAGAGAAACATTTAAGCTGTCCAAGTTCCTACGTCGTTTTTTTTGGGATGAGAAAAAAAGACAATTTTCATTTATGTGATTTTACATTTAAATTTTCTCTTCCCTTTGCCATGAAGTTAAGAGTGACGTCATCTCCAATCAGCAAAAAGGGCGCCCAGTGTTTGATGTCGCAGAACTTGTCTGATTCTCTGAGGCTTTTCATGGCCAGGTTCAGTGACTCGCTTGCAGGTTTACCTTCTGCAAGGTGTTGATAAAAGCATTTCATGAACTCGAGAGTAGCCTCGTCATCAATCGCCCACAGGGACACCACAACAGACCGAGCACCAGCCCCCATAAAAGCGCGCGCAATGCCAACCACACCTTCAGCCTTGATCTCGCCCCGACCACTGTGGCAGCAACTAAGCACAACAAGTTTGGCGCGAAGTTGAACATTCAACACATCTCCAATTGTTAAAATGTAATCCTCCTCCGTTGGCACAGTAGATATTCGGTCTGGGTTAGGTGTAAGAGCAATTTCGCCAGTTTCCATACATCCGTGTGCCGCAAAGTGAACTAAGGAAACGGAACTGAGTCTTTTCAACACCTCACGTTTCGTGGCCTGTCTGCCAGTGATTGGCGTGATATTCAGAATTTTTCCGATCATTTCTACTTCTTCTTTAGCACACGGAAGCTGCTCGAGGACTTTCTCTCCCTCGCTGTTAGTAACCTCGGATACCCACGGATCTCCTACAAGTAACGCACCACTGCTTTTGTGATAATCATCTGGGCAATCGGCAATGAGTCTAAGACTTGCTAACGATGGAGCGACTCGGATTGTGAACGATTCACACAGGTATTTAGAATTACCATCCTTCAATGCAGCGTAAGGAGCGATCCACAGGGGTCCATCAGGAATAATGAGTAGCTCATCCCCTTCAATCAAGTCAGCCACCGGCTTCATAACGATATCATACAAAGTGCTCAAGCATCCGTCTTGTTGGATGTGAGGTTGAGGGTTGGCTTCTTTGGTTTTCTCATCCACTTTTGAACGGCCCTCCCTCAAAGCATCTAAAGATCGATTCTCGCATCTCACATTAGAACGAACACCAAGTTGTGTATAGACACCGAGCATGAACGACTCAAAGGACTGGCTAGATCCACTATTCTCTGAAACAAAACCTTTGAGTTTACTTTGTCTTAACTGAACTTGTTTTCCTTCGGACACAACCCAAAGATTGACGTTAGCTTTGTCCACTGCCTGAAAGACAGTGTTTGATGGAACGTTTTTTAAAACTGTGCAATCTTCATCTTCTCCCTTGTGGTGACTTGTTCCACCACAAAAACTGGATTCCATGAGGTCGGTCAGAGCTTGAGCTCGTCCTTTCTCAGCAACAAATAAGGCTTCATCTACATTACCTTGTTCTACGAGAACTCTCCACAAACCCGTATACGCCATTTGATGCTGATTTCGAAAATTAACTTTCCACTCATCTTTAGATTTTAGAAGTACTCTCAAGGAATTGAATAAGTTTATGCTAGCTTGGTAATGTTCAACGGCTTTTGGCAGTCCACCTTGCAACTCAAAAACCAATCCTAATGAACAGTAGGCCATTGCCTCCAAGGATTTGTCTCCTACTTCTTTAGCTATTTTAAGATCTAGGTTGTGGTACTCTATGGCTTTTTTGAAATCACCCAGACTAAAATAAGCATTGCCAAGATTGCCATAAGCAACACCCTCCCCATGCTTGTCTCCTACTTCTTTAGCTATTTTAAGATGTAGGTTGTGGTACTCTATGGCTTTTTTGAAATCACCCAGACTCCGATGCGCATTGCCAAGATTGCCATAAGCAGCACCCTCCCCTCTCTTGTCGCCTACTTCTTTAGCTATTTTAAGATGTACGTTGTGATACTCTATGGCTTTTTTGAAATCACCCAGACTGTCATAAGCATTGCCAAGATTGCCATAAGCGTTACCCTCCCCATGCTTGTCTCCTACTTCTTTAGCTATTTTAAGATGTAGGTTGTGGTACTCTATGGCTTTTTTGAAATCACCCAGACGGTGATAAGCATTGCCAAGATTGCCATAAGCGTTACCCTCCCCATGCTTGTCTCCTACTTCTTTAGCTATTTTAAGATGTAGGTTGTGGTACTCTATGGCTTTTTTGAAATCACCCAGACTAATATAAGCATTGCCAAGATTGCCATAAGCGTTACCCTCCCCATGCTTGTCTCCTACTTCTTTAGCTATTTTAAGATGTAGGTTGTGGTACTCTATGGCTTTTTTGAAATCACCCAGACGGTGATAAGCATTGCCAAGATTGCCATAAGCGTTACCCTCCCCATGCTTGTCTCCTACTTCTTTAGCTATTTTAAGATGTAGGTTGTGGTACTCTATGGCTTTTTTGAAATCACCCAGACGGTGATAAGCATTGCCAAGATTGCCATAAGCGTTACCCTCCCCATGCTTGTCTCCTACTTCTTTAGCTATTTTAAGATGTAGGTTGTGGTACTCTATGGCTTTTTTGAAATCACCCAGACGGTGATAAGCATTGCCAAGATTGCCATAAGCACCACCCTCCCCATGCTTGTCTCCTACTTCTTTAGCTATTTTAAGATGTAGGTTGTGGTACTCTATGGCTTTTTTGAAATCACCCAGACGGTGATAAGCATTGCCAAGATTGCCATAAGCGTTACCCTCCCCATGCTTGTCTCCTACTTCTTTAGCTATTTTAAGATGTAGGTTGTGGTACTCTATGGCTTTTTTGAAATCACCCAGACGGTGATAAGCATTGCCAAGATTGCCATAAGCACCACCCTCCCCATGCTTGTCTCCTACTTCTTTAGCTATTTTAAGATGTAGGTTGTGGTACTCTATGGCTTTTTTGAAATCACCCAGACGGTCATAAGCATTGCCAAGATTGCCATAAGCGTTACCCTCCCCATGCTTGTCTCCTACTTCTTTAGCTATTTTAAGATATAGGTTGAGGTACTCTATGGCTTCTTCTCCCCGATTATAGAGATCTATGACTTTCTTGACATCACCTGAACTTGCACTACCGTGGTCATGACTAATAGGATCTTTTTCCTCCATGGACTTATCTCCCACTTCACTGACAGACTGAAGTCTTAATGACAACAAGATCCTATTGTTTTTGTCAATCTTTTTTATGTTAAGGGTTAAAAATGTGGAAAAAACAAAAAAGATTATGTTTCTGATCATATTGATATGTAATAGTCCATTTTAACATTTGCGTGCTTGGTTCCCAAACCTCTGAACAAGAGCCATGATTAAGGGTGACCTTGTTATGATAAAAACATTGCTGCTTTTTAAATGCAAACTACTTTGTTATTATCGTTTCTAGATACTGGTCTCTATCACAACAAGGTCACCTTCAGCCTCACTCCAAATCAAAGGCTTGGCAACTAAGTACACAACTATAAAATGGCCCATTAGGAGGGCTTTGCATGAAAGGTAGATGATTTATCAACATTCAGTCTTAAAGTCAGTTATGAAGTAAATCTACACTTCAAAAAATGTTTTTTCTGTGTGCAGCCTCAAAATTTAACGCGAAATATCTAGATTTAATCCCTAGTTTCCAAAAACTGAGCAGCACTTGCTCAATTTTTAAATTAATATAGCTTTAACATCAGACAAATGTTTTACAGCAGTGGAAGAAATGAGTCTACAACACAAATACATGTCTTTAAAATTTTTATTTGTCCATAGGAAAGCAGGACGAAAGTTTCCGAGTCTCTAAGTAGTGGAAAAAGGTCGAAGGCAAGAAAATCTGCATAAGATATGTAAACATTACCGAGCTTTTTGTTCTGGCTTGTTTTAGAGAGATCATCTACCCAAGTACTATGTATAAACTGGATGAATATTAGTCTTCTAACCCTTTAACTCCCGTGAGTGACCAAAAGAGAATTTCTCCTTACAATAGCAATACAATATCAATCAGATAAGTGTTGAGAGTAAAAAAAAATATATCAATTTAAAAATAGTTAGTTGATGCAATACTGAATTCTCTGTACTAACATTACAAGAATTGTATGGTTGACAGTAAGGATAATTACAAATTTGGTCTGGGAAATTAAAGGGTTATTTAAACTAATGTACCAGTTATTGGCATGGATGATAGAACTAAGTCAAATTGGCTAAAAGGAGTAATTTCATTAATAAGTCATGAGGTAATAACTTCTCCTATGTTTTTAATCACACACACTTAAAGTATATGAGCTGACAAGTTCCCATCATAATTAATACCCTTCTTTGTATTTTCTCCCTTGAAACATCAAATGATGGAAACTTTTTCCATTATACCCACGGTTAAAAATGAAAGATTCCTTCAAAGGATACAGCTAGTCCCTTATCACACCAAGTGATTGCTCCTTCAAATCTCTTCAATTCAACACAAGCAGTGGCTCCTGTAGGCAACAACACAAAGAAGCATACTATTACTGTAGCTCAATTCCTAGTCCCTTAGAGGCAAATATATGACTGTGTTTTAAGACTTTTCGATTCATCCAAATATTTGACAACTTTGAGGTCAAATATCTCCCGTTTCCAGAAAGCTGCAACACTTATCTTCATTACCCTTTATAACCCATCATTTCATCTCTGAAAATCATCAAAAAAATCTTTGGGCACTACCGTATTTTTGTCTTGGATGCCTTTTAAAATCTGCGGCTGTGACAACTTTCTCTCAACTACACCTATGTCCTGATTTTAGCAAATCTTCAAAGTAATAAACGACTGAAGAAAGAAACCAACGATTTTCCCACTGATTTTTCGTCAACATGCATCTCTCTTAACGTGAGATTTTCCATTCCTACAAAAAATCTCGAAAGTTTTTCACATTTTTCACCTTTCTTGATCAATCATCTTGTATAAAGAGCTAAAAAATATAGGTTTATTTTGTCAAGTGACCGCCTAGAGCAAGAATTGTGTGACAGGTAATTAAGATTAGTGTTGTAGCTTTCTGGCAATGAGAGATATTTGACCTGAAAGTTGTCAAATATTTGGATGAATCGAAAAGTCTAGAAACACAGTCGTATATTTGCCTCTGTTGATTGACAAGCCGTCAATCAAACTGACTGATACTCGTAGCAGACATTAACTAAGGATGTAAAAATATGTGTGCAAATCCTCAAAGCAATCGGTTAAATACCATCGCAGTGAGAACTTCATACATTTTACCTATTTGAAGCAATTTCCTTGGTGAAAACCAAGAAAAACCAGGGGGGGTGGTCAATCTCCCCTTGGAAAAAAACCAAAACAGAAACCAGTTTGTCTTTTTGAGTTTTGGGGTAGACCCTTTAAACTAGCAAAGTCTCATTGAAATCGATGAGATGTCATGTAGCACGACTGCCCGGTGCTCTCGTGGACACACTCTTAACATATCTGACACCTGTGACTCATTGAACTTAAGGAACTAAAATATTCATGCTGGAATTTTGCTTTGCATTCCGCATTGAGTTCTTCATCCCGTTCAAAATAATATTCTTATCATGATTAATGGAAAGTAATGGCATAGCAGTCAAGAGCTGGATTCAAATGTACATCAGGGTGGTCTCGACCTCTTAATTAAAGTCAATTGAGACAAGATTGAACTCCATTTAACCTCATTTAACCTTAGAGTGTTGAGTTCTATTATTATAGCACAGCTAACATATCTAACCTCTCACAATTGCCTTAAAGAAAGTTGGATTTAACTCAATGGCTGCTTCTGCATCCCTTAGTGAATCCTGGTGATTTCCTGTTATTGAAATAAATATCTCTGATTAGCCATACATGTTGCAAACCAACTACCATTACTATTATAAGTAATTTTGGGAAAAACTTGTGATGCTCATTGATATCTGGGGTAAGAGGTTACTTCTTTGTATATTTGAGAGGCCAAGATAAGATGTAAATTTTTCCGGGGGTGCATTCAAAATTATCACCTTTTCCAGAAAACTACTACTGACAACTCAATAGTTTCAAAATAGAAAAAAAAATGCATATTAAAGCTCTCATCATCTTACCAAGTTTAGAATGTGCAATAGCCCTGTTGTTGTGCAGTTTGGCCTTCAGTTCTTTCTTGTTGCAGTTCATTTTAATTCCTTTGGTGTAAAAATGAATAGCATTGATGAAATCTCTTTTCTTGAAGGACTCATTACCCTCATTCCTATAAACATCAGCTGTGGCTGCAAAGAAAAAATAAAAAATAATTTGTGTCAAAGTCTGTGGTTGTAGTTAATAATTACCTGTGGTTGTAGTTAATTAGTGCATAAGCAGAGCTGCCAAGATCTGGAGATTTAAAATCTGCAGATTTTTCCTTTAGTGCCAGCTACCACTTTTGCACCTGCCTGACTTGACCCATCCCCTGAAAAGCTTGGAGGATGTGTGCAGTCCCCCCCTCCCCCTTCACAGGACAGACCCCACTCAGTTAATTTATGAGAGACTTTTTTCGGTTGAAAGCTCAACCAAGCAGACTCAGTTGCTGTTGTGGTTGTTGTTTAGAAGAAAGTGTAATCCCTACTTTGAAACAATCTAAGTGCAATCAAGAAAATTAAGACAAGAACCCTAAGATTAACAAAAGGCCAGATAACATTAGAAGTGGGAAATCTGGAGTTCAAATGTTGTGTTTCTGTGTGGAACTGACCTGAATCCTCCTTTATCTTAAAGGATTGATGACCCATATGGGAGACCCAGAGTCATGTTCTGTGTCTGTTCTGTGTCCAAATGTTACAATCATAAAAACCAGAAGCAATATTACTCATAGAAAAATAGTTATAGCCGCAAACGCTAATCACACTTATTTCAAACTTTACTAGAACAAACTTGACACATTGTTGAATACGGTAACTGAAAATGACAAAATTACAAACACGCGAATGAGCATAAAATAACTTACATCGTATGAGTGAAAGTACTGGAAAACGACAAAGCGAGATAAACAAGGATACTTACAAGACGAATGTGACCAACCCAAAGACGAAAACATGAAACCTAGAGCTAGATATGTAACGGTAATTTTCACAAACTAGACAACTAACCAAATAAATTACGCGCAACCAATATATATACGATATGCAAATAAATATAACAAGTACAAAACTGGTAACTGACAAAGGACACTAATGGAAGACGAGAAAATAAACACCTAACACGAAACTATGAAACACCAACACTAACAAAAAATGATAGTACAAATTCTTGCGCCTACATTCCGGCCCCTTAAATACGAAGATCTAAATCCAAGTATTTACCAGCAAAACACTAAAAGGCGCAAACTTTACAGAGCTAATTGAACTTAGACGATTTTTACTTAATGTTCAGACGCCTAACAGAGTCAACAAAGTACTATAAAGTGTCAATTTAAATCTTTCTCCTCAAAGAAAAGTCACGCAATCTTGGTAATCATACGATTAAGGAAAGTCAATGAATTTTTCCTTCCACTTGTTCAATTGATTCCAGAAGACATAGTTTACTGATAGGGCGCTCCAAAGTTGATGTCTTGGTTTTAACCTTGACACGGCGGACAAATCCATATTTGTCAGGAAAAACCTCTGTAATCCGACCAATTGCCCACGCATTCCTTGGCAAAGTTTCGTCAACCACGATAACAGTGTCCCCCACGGCAAAGTTTTTCTTTGGTCGAAACCATTTCTGACGTGATTGCAACAGAGGGAGATATTCTCTCTTCCAGCGACCCCAGAAAACATCAGCCAAATATTGTACTTGCCGCCATCTTCTCCTGGAGTATGTGTCGCTCTTTAAGAACAAGCCTGGAGGAAGAGGTGTCTCGCTGCGAAGCAGGAGAAGGTGGTTCGGTGATAGTGGTTCCAAATCCTTTGGATCGTCAGAAACTGTGGTCAGAGGTCTTCCATTGATAATGCTCTCACATTCACACAACAAGGTCTGAAGACTCTCATCATCGAGACTTTGTTCTTTAACCAGGGCACCCAGAACCTTGCGTGTAGATCTAATTAGCCTCTCCCAGACACCACCATGATGCGAGGCTCCGGGTGGGTTAAAAACCCATTTGATGCTTTTCTGCAGAAGGGCGTCATGAATTTTAGCTTGATTCCAGCTGTCAATCATGACACGAAGCTCCCTTTCACCTCCTACGAAATTTGAACCATTGTCGGAGCGAATTTCTTTAACTTGACCTCTACGAGCGATAAAACGTCTGAGTGCGTGAATAAAAGAGTCAGTGTCCAGTGAGTGACACACCTCCAGATGAACAGCTCGCAGTGCCAAACAAGTGAAGATTGCACCATAACGTTTGACCATGCTCCTCTTTTGACGAACAAGAAAGGGACCAAAATAATCTATCCCCACGCACGTGAAGGGGGGTTGATCTGGTGTAACTCGAGGCCGAGGCAGATTTGCCATCTTTTGTTCTCCAACGGGACCTTGTCGTCGTTTGCAATCAAAGCAGGATGAAAGCACACTTCTAACAGTAGAGTTGGCACGAATCAACCAGAAACGTTCGCGCAACAGAGCCAGGACATATTCTCTACCAGAATGGCCGCTTTTCTGGTGAAAGTGGTTCACAAGCAGACGAGCTAGATGAGAATCTTTAGGAATGATAATCTGATGCTTAGAGTCGTCTGATAGGGTAGCCCTGCTAAGGCGCCCGCCAACACGAAGAAGACCATCGGTCAAGATCGGATCTAATCTTGCAAGTGCACTTGACCCCTTGACGCATTTACCTCCCTTAACGGCTTCTAATTCTTCTGCAAAGGTGAGATTCTGCTCGAACTTGATAATCTCTTTTCCGGCTTCTTCCAGCTCTGCGTTTGTCACCAATTTCGCTCCAGATGCGTCAGCAGTATCCAAACAATTCTCCTTTGACACTTTTCTCCTCATCACAAATCTTCTCTGGCAGCGAAGACACAGCGCGATGAACTTCAACAATTTGAACCATGAAGAGAACCGTTGGATGATAGAAACGATACTTGAATCTTTACTCGCGTGAACAACAAAAGATTTCGGCTCTCGTTTCATTCTGTTTCAGCAGAAACGCCGGCCCCTTTATCCAGCGGTCATTCTTAGTGAAGGACTCTGCAGTAACTCCTCGTGAAGCATCATCTGCAGGATTAGACTTTGAGTCGATGTGTCTCCACTGTGAGGGACTGGAATCCTCTCTAATGAAGGCGACACGGTTGGCGACGTAAGTGTGGAAGCGCTTGGATTCGTTTCCAATGTAACGCAACACAGTCATGCTATCTGACCAGAAAGTGATTGCATCAATCGGAATCTCCAACTCCTTCTTCAAAACTTTGTTTAAACGGATGGACATTTAACTCTAAACGTGGGATAGTGACCTGTTTTAAAGGGGCGAGACGAGATTTTCCGAGAAGGAAAGAACAGTTGATTTGGCCATCGGAGTCAACCTGTTGAAGATACGAAACAGCTCCAAAGGCTGACTGAGAGGCATCACAGAAATGGTGAATCTCACTTGACACAGTTTTACCAGATCTACGCCTAACGCACCGGCCCATTGACATCTGGGAAAGTTTCGGTAGACCATTTAGCCACACACGCCAACGAGATAGGTAGTCGCTGGGAATCTCATCATCCCAACCCAAACTCTTTCTGCACAGATCCTGAAGGAGCAGTTTTGCCGGAAGGATGAAAGGCGCTGCCATACCGAGAGGATCGTAAACTGAACTCACCACGGAAAGGATACCACGCCTGGTACAAGGTTTCTCCTTAATGTTCACTTTGAAACCAAATGTATCTGTCTCGACAAACCAGGATACACCTAGGGCTCTCTCTGCAGGAAGCACGTCGTTATCAAGATCCAGATCTTTAACACCCTTCGCTCTAGCTTCTACAGGAATGGATTCCAAGACTTCGCGGTCATTGCTGATCCATTTAGTCAAATTGAAACCTCCCCTCAGCATTAGCCGACGAAGTTCTTCCACATGTTTTATTGCAACAGCCGCTGAAGGTAAGGACTTCAGGCAGTCGTCAACGTAGAAATTCTTCAAGACAGTACTAACCACGTCAGGGGAAAACTCGTGCCTATGATCTTCGGCATTCCGTCGCATGGCGAAGTTAGCACAACTGGGAGACGAAACCGCACCGAACAGATGTACGGTCATCCGATACTCTTCTAATTTCTTAGAGAAGTCGCCACGGGGCCACCAAAGGAACCGTAGGAGGTCTCTATCTACTTCTGGGACACGCACCTGATGGAACATAGATTGAACGTCACCCATGACTGCGACTGGCTCCTGACGGAAACGGATCAGCACGCCAACCAGATTATTGGTTAAGTCAGGACCTTGAAACAGCTCATCATTCAGGGAAGTTCCTTGAGAATGGGCTGAGCAATCGAAAACGACACGTATTTTATCCGGTTTCTTATGATGATAAACGCCGTGGTGCGGGATAAACCACACCTTACCATCTGATCTCTCCAGGACATCCAGGGGAACCTTTTCTGCAAAACCGTCACCGATCACCTTCTCAAGACAAGCAACATAGTCCTCGCGAAACTTCACATCTTTAGAGAATTTACGTTTAAGATAGAGGGCACGGCGTTCTGCTTGACTCCGGTTTGCTGGCATCTGCAAGTTGAGGTCCCTTAACGGTAGAGAAACCTGATAATGACCATCTTCACACTGCATAACTGAATCCTCTACAATGTTCATGAACTTTAAGTCATCCCTTGACATGCTTAAACCATCGGAAAGAGTGGCATCTGCAAAATCAGCACATGCTATACACATAGGATGAGTCTCCTTACAGTTAACGAAGAAACTAGAAGATGGGACAAACTTTTGCTTTCTTCCAGTTGGGCCATTGATAACCCAGCCAAGATCAACTCTAGTTGCATATGGACCCCCATCAGAGGCAGGGACAACTTCTCTCGGTTGTAGGGCTTCAGGTACGTTTGCACCAATTAATAGATCCACCTCGGAATTCAATTCTGCTAGGTATACATAGCCTTGAAGGTGCGGCCATCGCTCCACATCCTCTTGTTTCGGGATCTCGTCTTTCACTACAGGCATAGAAGGTCGGGAAAGAACTTCTGGCAAGGAAATGACAACGTTCTCGTCTAGATCAGTCACTTCCAGGTTCGTAACAACGAGACTGTCCACATCGTTGCAGCTATCCATGGTGGTTAGCTTGAGTCTCATTTCCTTGCCGCTGACTCTCAGACGTTTCAACAGGCTAGCCGAGCAAAAGGTGGTGTTAGATCCATTATCCAGCAACGCATAAGTCTCCACGGACCGAGGACTTCCTTTGACTTTGACCTTCACAGCAACAATGGGCAATGCAGTCACGGAACCCTCCATTGTGGTTAGGCCACAAAAGTGATCAGCTCTGTTCTTCTCAGTACTGGACTGGTTGTTCTCGCTCTGAGGTCCATCCTTACCACGGTCGGACGCAACAATAGCTTCTGGTGCACCTACATGCATTACAGTAGCGTGTCTCTTATTACAGTGAATACAGGGCTTCCTTTTGTGACAACTTCTAGACTGATGGCCTCCACCTAAGCACGAAAAGCATAGCCTCTGCTTCATGACAAACTCCTGACGATCTGTAGGAGGTACTTTGGCGAAACTGGAACATTCGGTGAGATTGTGATCTGCATTACAAAACAGACAGTTCTTCTTAGAAGAATGAACTGCACTCAACACATCAGCAGATGAATTGAGAGCAGATTTCGTCTCGGAAATCGTGACGAGGCTTAGCTGTTTTCCACCGGGTCTCTCAGACTTCGATCTCGAACCCCTATCCTTGCTGTTCTTCTTCTCCTTTTCCAAACAAGGAAGCTTGCCAAAAACTGGATTGGACAAGGTGCGAGCTTTCTGTTCAACGAAGAGTGAAATATCATCAATGCAGACATCTCTCGCTTCCGAGTTGAGGATCCGATCAGCGTTGTCCCGCCAACTGGCTTGCAACTTCGGGGGAAGCCTCTCAATAATCTTCCGCATGCTATCCGGACTTTCGAACTTGCTGGAATGGCCGATAGCCTTAAGAGTGTTTGTACAGCTAGAGAGCAAAACGGCAAAGCCTTCTAGGGCGTCTGCATCTTCAGCTTTGATGACTGGACCATTAGTGACTTTATCCACATATGCCATAGCGATTTTGTGCTTCTGTCCAAATTTGCTCTCTAAGAGTTTCTTTGCCTTTACGTACCCATCTTCGGCTTTCATGTAGAGGCAACTTTGTACCAACTCTTGAGCTCTGCCAGCTGTGTGCTGTTCGAGGTAATAGAGTCTCCCAGCGTAATCTAGTTCTCTAGTTTCGATTACGGTCTCGAACGCGCGAATGAAAGCACAGTAATGTAAAGGGTCTCCACTGAACACAGGTACACGTCTCCTGGGCAACAAGTTCCTTTGCTGCTGTTTCACGAACTCTTCCATTACTCGGTTCTGCTGGACGAGAATGCCATAGGCCTGGTCGCTCAGACCTGAGTTGCCAGAGCTTGAACTTGAATCACTCACAGCACCCTTATGATCTTTAACCGGGTTACTTGACTTCACAGACAATTTCTCTTTCTTATCGGCAGGTACAAATGACTCACGTTTTGAACCACCAGTCCTTGACTTTTCAGTGATGGAGGATACGACTGAAACGGGACAACGAGGATTCCTAGAGGCCACGTTGCTAGGCGCGAAATTACCCGCTTCAGCTTGAGCGTAAGCTTCTTCTCTAGCCACCGCTTTAGCGTACTCAGTTTTGAGGTTTAATTCATCTTTCTTCAACTGCAGGTCGTACTCTTGCCTCTTGAGGCGTAGCTCCGATTCCTGAAGCGAATGGCGGTGTTTCAAAGCGTGTGCCTCCGCTCGAAGTTCCGCGATGCGAGCTGCCTCTTTGGCTCTTGCAGCAGATATGGAGCTCGTTTTAGAAAAGTGACTCGTTCTCGATCCACACATGGATGGTCTAGACTTGCTACGAACCTCGGACCCAATTTGAGAAGCGCTGTCGTCAGGCGTTAACAGGTTATCTTGAAGCCTGGCTTCCGTGACACGTAACCAATCATTGACCGTACGGCAGAAAAAATCTAAACTGCTTTCAATGTCGGCGAAATAGAGGTCTGATTCTTGTCTCTGACTTTCCTCAACCAGAGCTACATTATACGCGTCATGAGCCTCGGTAAATCTTCGAAATAGCGACGTGATTTCCGACAGCTTTACTTTCACCGTCTCCAAATTATTTTCATCCGTTAAAAGACTATCGATCTCTCGACGCTTGGACGTTAACGAAGACAACACTCCTCCTCTCCGCTTTCTGAGTTCACGGATGCGTTCAAGAGAGATTCCTTCTTGATCCAAAGAGGTATTCGGTTTACGAGCACGTGGACCGTTTTCGGCAGGTTGGCCGTTCTTCCCGGCCGAATAAGACAGGTAGACATCAGAACCGTTGCGAGACATCGTCATAAACTTCCAATAAACCAGATTCGTCTTTTACAAAATATAGCCGCAAACGCTAATCACACGTATTTCAAACTTTACTAGAACAAACTTGACACATTGTTGAATACGGTAACTGAAAATGACAAAATTACAAACACGCGAATGAGCATAAAATAACTTACATCGTATGAGTGAAAGTACTGGAAAACGACAAAGCGAAATAAACAAGGATACTTACAAGACGAATGTGACCAAACCAAAGACGAAAACATGAAACCCAGAGCTAGATATGTAACGGTAATTTTCACAAACTAGACAACTAACCAAATAAATTACGCGCAACCAATATATATACGATATGCAAATAAATATAACAAGTACAAAACTGGTAACTGACAAAGGACACTAATGGAAGACGAGAAAATAAACACCTAACACGAAACTATGAAACACCAACACTAACAAAAATGATAGTACAAATTCTTGCGCCTA